GAAAATGACGGTATTTCATCGATGACCCAAAAGGTATCAGTGAGCACACTCTTCTAAAGAAGTTAGACGAGTCGGCGAAACCTGCTCAGACATCTGAGTGGTCGTTCATCCTGTTTTCTTGTCTTTGGGTTTTTTCCTTGTTAAGTTGATATAACCGTTGTAGAAGCAGGATCGGCCATCGAACCAAGGAGAATGGAATGCAGGTCTCCCGGTGCGTGCTCGAGTAACGTGTCCGGGGGAGTCAAGGTGGATTTTGATGCTCTGCGCGAATTAACCCAGCCGTTCTCGCCCAGATGAGCGAACGAGGCAGAGATGGCGTGCCGCCGGAAACTTATTTGCAGAATACTGGATGGAAGTCAGCCTTGATTAAGATGCTAGACACTGATCCTCAATTCACATGATATGATTGCATCCATTGATGTTTTCGGCAAGCCTCAGGCAGGGGAAGGAAAGCAGGAGGAAGAACGCCCGAGATTGGAGGGTCGTTTGAAAACCAGATCGGTAGGCGGCGGTCGGCAGATGGGAGATTGGTCTGGGTCGCCTGCATTCCTGTAGCTTCAGCATAGGAGACATCGACGGAGGCCACGAAGGAACACTCATGGCATCCGTTTCCCGAACAGTAGGGCCGCGATACTAGCCATGTCTAGGGAAACCGCAGCCGATGGCCGGAAAGTGCTGGATTCAAACTCGCTGGTGAAGGTGATGATGGCCGAAGTGCCGTGTAAGCCCATCTAATGTTTCGAGAGAGGCAGTGGCGAAGGTTAAATGGGAATCGAATATTGTTGCTCGTAGATGTCGGGTTACTTTTTGACAGCCACACCTGGCAGAGGAGCAGCATTGCTGAACGGCGATCATCATGCTCTGGAGGCCAGGCGTGAGGGTGAGACGGGTCGCTGGAGGTTTCAAATTCCTCCAGCAGACTCTCCATAGTCCGCACTGGAAATTGCGCTAAAATTCTCGATCGATTTCTTCCCACTCCCTGGTCAGACCGTCCGCCATGAGTCGGAGAAGCAGAGCGTCTTCCTCCCCTGCAGTTCTACATAGTTAAGAACGCTCGCGTGTGGTAACCTCGGCATAGGACGCTCGCGATATTCCAAGAGCACACTTCTCGCCCCACATAATTGTGTCCGTGGCTGGATTCGCTCGTTCGTTTCCTAGTCAGCGCCTTCGGGCAGGTCACAGTCCCATGCAACCAGATCCTTCCCCTTATCCTGACCCCTGTTGATGATGACTACGGTGCAGCAATGCCGCGCCTGCTTGTCTCACTCATTGGTGTCAAGCCCAACCCATCTTGGGCTGTAGCTGAAGAGGGCGGCCGTGATAACCCTGGACTTCTCGTCTTTGACGCAGAGGAAACTGTCGATGGTATGCCGGCCTTCGGCGTCGAGAATACTCGGTGCCCAGTTCGTCTTGTCGCCGCCGTGGCGAAAGGAAACAACGTTAGGATGGATGTAAATTAGGGAATCCTCCGCGGTCTCGGACAGCGTCTTGGAGAGCACATCGGCCGTCGCGACGGGGTCGATGGTGCCCATTGCGTAAAGGGGGCGCGGGGCGGAGAGGAAGGCGCGACGGAGTGAGGATGGGCGAGATGTTAAGGCGCATGCTGCCTGCGAAAGGGAGTAGATGGGACAAGGAAGGATGAAATGTTCGACGCTGATTTCGGCACAGACAAGCGAGAAGGAGAAAGTCTGTGAGCTTTCAGATGCAGAGGTCGTTTAGACCCTCCAGGCAGCAACTGTTCAAGTGCTTCATCCCTTCCCCTGCTCCATTGAGTCCGTGACCTGAATAGAGTCCAGCTTCTCTTCTAACCACCTCACACATGGCTTCCGTCTTGTTCTTCCAACAGGAAGTGGCGAAGGAGACTGAGGTCGAGACCAATCGGGAAAGCAACCGATGGTCGTGCAACAGGGGACGAGGAACCGCACACTCAGCTCGGAAGGGGCATCATAGAAACGCTTCCAATGAGACAAGGAAGGCGAGCATCTACGACACCGTTTCGATTGTCTCCAGTGCAGCCTGCTCTAGGTTTGGTGGGCAGCTGAGGTTTCCGAAGAGGGAAGGCCTGGTAGTTCCTGCCCGTGAGATGCATGTAATAAGGGACAAGATTTTGTTCTGTTCTCTGATCATTGCAGAGCTCTTTGCTGTGTGAAGGAAAACATGGCCCCCGCTCCGAGGAAAGAGTCGGAATTCGTTTCGGCACGGCACGTCAGCAGGCATGCGGATGAAAGTCCAGCCGCTATAAAGTCATAATGTTGGATATTTCAAGTATAGGGTGGAAGAAGGAATGTGTGTGACTTGTGTGTTCAATCGTCAGATTTGTCGGGGGATGAAGAGGAGAGGGTTTGGGCTGGGGGTTGGGTTTCTTTTATAGATGCCCGGAGGATGTGATGATTACAGCATCTTCCCTATAATGCCGATAAAGTGAATCATAGGGGGATTTCCACTATGCTAAATCACATGTCTCGATGACTCTGTGAATCACCGTTGTGAATATGGGCTCAATGGCAATAGCAAAGCCAATCAATACTTATTTGATGCGCTGTTAATGGCCCAGTGAATCACACAGCCTCCCTGGCTGGTCGATGCTGATTGCTCTTTGCAAACAGGGTATTGGCGTCAAGCACACATGCTTGTCATTGCGTCCTTTGTTCAGGGTAGATGCTGTTGGCGTGGTTGGTCGCATCCATCATTGCCATCAATTGATGTGTCTCTTGCCGCCCTGAGACTGCCAACTGGATGTGTTATTGGCCAACTTTGTGAAGTGTGTGGTGATGTTCGAGATTGTAGGCTTGGAGGGAAGCTGTAAGTGAGTGATGGTGTTGGAGGGTAAAGGTGATGATCAAGATGGCGAGGGATGATGCTCGTGGTGGCGGATAATGATCGAAGGGGTTCCTTATGGCAACCGAGAAGGATGGTGTAAAGTGCTGGGTAATGACAGCAAAGGGAAAGGACTGATCACGATTTCCACGAGATAGATATCTTGACAGGTTGAGATCTTGTTTGCCCAAGCAAAGCCATCTAGCATCTGGGACTTGCTCTTCGCCCCTTCCTCAACCAGTCTCCCTACCAAGCAACTGGCTCCTTCCATACGCCAATCCCAAAAGCTGCCTTCCTCGTGCTTTATAATTTAGAATAAAGCAGCGAGATATCACCGAAGCCAGCTGGCTGACGCAGTCAGTTGGTGACAGCATCCGAAGCTTTCCTGCGGAGGGCTTGGGTTCGATCCCGGTCGTGTTCCAAGTTCTTTTCGGGAGGACTAGGATGCTCGGCCACCAGGGATCTGGTAAAGATATATCTCGGCTAATGGAGATCCCCATCTGGGACTTGTCCCAGTGGTCCAGACGGGAGGCGCGACTGTAATGGCTAGGGCCCCTTTATTTTTTATTAATTTCAATTTTCAATTTTTTTTTTCTTCGTCTCTGTCGCCGTATGTCCTAGTGACTTGGAGGTTTGGCAGAACCCCAAGTCATGATACTGGCTCGGTCGCCTAATGGTTCGTCGATATCTTGGTGTGGTCTCCATTTGAGGTCGGGTCTCGAGGCAGCGGAACAACACGCCTACGTCTGCTGCACGCGTGGAGGGGCAAGCCGCAAGAAATGATGCATTTGAATCAATCTCGAGACGCCTTTAACGACAAAGGACGTTATAGATGTCGCCCATCGCCGGACAGGTTTTCGATTATCAGAAACACCGCCTGGAGTATGTTCGGACGACGTCCACTGATTGAGCCGTGACCCTGCGGGGTGGACTTGCACTATCACGTCCCGGTGTGAAGTCCGCGGTCCAAATTGGTATCTGGTGGATGCAGTGGAGGTGACAGAAATTGTTAATATATAACCACGGTGTCGTTGATGATAGATCCCGTGTCTAGGACAAAACCGCTGGAACCAAGAGAAATCGCCACCGCGATCGGCCGCTTATAAAAAAGGGCGGGGCTGGTGGAGAGGGCAATGTCTCGGCGTTAATGTACGCAACGGCGTGGACGGTGTAGCTCTCCCTTATTGGGCAGTCTTTCTCCGCATTCACGAAGCAGAAGCCTAGTTTCTGGGCTCGGAGCCGCGCCAGGGTGCTTTGCCAGTTTGTAGACATCCCGAGCAACCGACTGTGTCAGGGCGGGGAAGCGATCCTCAAACGTGTCCGCTCTATGCAGTGGTTCGAATATATAATATATAGGCCCTATCCAGGATAAGATCCGAACTGAGGTCTGGAGGGGACGCACATTATATAGAATTGAAAAGCCTCGTCTGTCCCTAATAGCTCGCCTTTTCTTTCGGAGATGTCACTAACGATCATCCGTTATCACACGCGGAATTTCCTGCCACCGTATCAAAGCCGCATCTTGGTGTTTTAATTTGACGAGAGGAGCACGAGCGATTGGCCCAGTACAGCCAGCTGGCCAACTCGATCCTCGCATTCTCCTCCCTAAAGAGAACGAAGATACCGGGGCGGACACCCTATTGGGTATGCCGCACCTGTCTAGGCTGGCGAATTTTGCCACTCAGAGAACTCCGATACTATTCTGGCCGACGTCCGAAGACGGAGACTATGTGGCGGAAGTTTGAGCATCTTCCCAACTTCACTATCGTACAGCCACGCACGGGAGGCGAACCAATTCTCGGGCCTCGGGAGGGATCTGCAAACGGTTAAACGCCTTTTGAAGGAAGAAAGAGAGATAAGAACGAGAACTTACTCTAAAGCACCGCTTGAGAGATGTCTAGAAGGTTGAACAAGCAATGCTCGTACCTACAAAAGCACACGACAAACAGATTTTCTGAGTGGGAAAAAAGACAGACGTTAGATAAAGCTCAAGCTTTAGGCCCAAGAGACACTCGGTTCCTAGCGGGTTATTGCTGCCACAATTAGGACTATTCAAAGAAGGCAGACGACGGGATCGACACAGATCACAGCAAAGTCATCCTATTGCAATTTCCTGGTCAAATATCTTCATTTTATTGGTTTGGTATTCCAGTGATTCTTGTTGTAATATAGATACTTGGGAGCTATCTGCCCTCTGCTTTTCCTTCCTGGACCTCTGGGCCGGGTCGCCTTCGTTTTCTGAATGTCCTCTGCTCCCAATCGGCATCAACCGAGTCGTACATTAACTCGAAATCCTCATCCAGAACACTCCCTACTATAAACACGGGGACGTTATGCTCCACCGTCACTAGTTTGGAGTAATTTACTCTGGAAGCTGCGTGGAGGCTTTCATCGGGCACATGAAATCTTGCTCTGACTGTTGGCCTACCCAGCTTCGGTTCATCGGGGAGAAGACGCGGCTTTTGGCCAGCCATGACGATAATTCCGTGTTGGGCCGGTTTAACTCCTCTTTTCTTGCAACCTTTGCCGCCATATGTGAATATAGGACTAGATGCGTGTTAGTTGATGATTTCGAGAACTGAAACCCCAGGGGGCCCAGCACACATGAGCCGTCAGTATCGGGCGAGGGGCAGACACAAGAGGCTGTACATACACACATGCGCAGTGCCCGAAATCGTTTCCAATAACAATGAAACGCCTGTATCCCACAACAATGGTATTCGAAGAAGAGCCACCCAGATCCATATTTTTCTCTGCCAGTGTGTCATCGACAATAGTCCCCTGGAAAGGTTCCGGCCATAAAACTTTGAAAATCTTTCGCATTCATGTTAGCATCCACCGTGCAAATGCAGGATAAACATGCGGCAAACCTACCGTTCCAGGCTGAAATTTGTGGGAAGGCTCAATTTGGTACCCTTTGACGAGATTACATTAGGTGGGTTCAATAATGGGTCTGGGCTAACTCACTCGGGTCAAGTATCTCGGGATCCTTGTTTGGAGGACCGGCGATATGAGGATGTTCCGCAACACTCGCATACCCCTCGTATGTTGCCGTATCCCCTACTTCTGGGAAGTCGTCAACATCTCGAGACAATATGCCCAAGTTATATTCTGTACTGTACCTTCATCATCTGAGCGTAATGTGGAAGGCTGATCGGAATGGACTTCATCAGGCTCTCCATGCTCGCCGCGAACGTCCGGCTCTTCCGGGCCCCAAGCCGTTTCGATATTACCTATATTTGTCAGTACAAGTATGAAATGCTTATCCGTGCTGTTTGATCAATGAACCGACCGAGATTGTCCTGGCGCTGACGATAGTATCTGGAGTATGTTTTGGACCAGATCCACTCGCCCCATGCGCTCCAGATCTGATGTTTCCGACCCTTGCCTTTTCTGCGGCTGTGGCTGGACTGCTTAGCGTCTTCCACTGATTTTGAAGGGAAGTCTAGTGCATTTTCGGCAGGTTTCTCTTGCAGACTATCCTCATTTTCTGAGGGTATTTGATCTGGCGGTTTGATGGGTTCGGAAGGACGTAGAGTCATTACTCTTGCCCAATCCAACTCAAATATATTCTCATCTAAAGGTTTTGGAATGAATGACTCATTATAGCCCTCGAAATCTGGATCCAAATCCTGCAAGTCGGAAGGGCTAGGCGGGAAACCCCACTCCTCGTCGAGAAGAGTCGACGGACGTTGGCCAGCCCCCGACCCATCGTCTGACCCGTCGTCTAGGTATATGATTGACATGAATCCAAGCTCCTTGATATGGCACGCAACGTGGAGGGACAATTTCCTTCGAAAATCAGCGTCGAGATCGCCACGGATTTGGACGGGACGTTTTGCTTTCCGCTTTGGGAGTTCGTTGAAGCTGTCCTCTTCAACAAGCCATGGTGCGATTAACGCGATTTCACGGGGCACGCAACCGCAAATTGGACAAGTATATGGCGGCCTATCTCGCCGTATCCGGCACCACTCTTTCAGTAGGGTTATGTCGGACTGGGTATCATACTCGGGGTGCTGCTCCATGACGTGCCTGTCAAAGGCCGCCTCATCGTCAAAGTTGAGCACCTCGTGGTTTGTATCGCAACACCAGAATGGAATCCCGTGGACAGTCTCTGCCCAGCGCGGTGAGTGAACTTGGTCCATATGACGACACCAGTCATCGAACCGCGAAAAGAGCTGCGGCGGCTCCAAGCATTGCTCCGATATACAAGCGTATAACTTTAGATCCTCATCAACGTGGCGTCTGAGAACATATGGCAGTCAGTTTCAAGAATTCAAGAAATATTGCAGAAAGAAATATCGAGAAGTGAAGGTAGGTTTAATACTCCCATAGTCTCTTATCCTTTACAATCTTCTCTCCAATCGGGTGTGTGCAATATGGGCAAGCTACAACCTTCGCGGGGGGTTCAATCTTGGGTGGCTCGGGGTACCGAACATCTTGAAGCGGAACGGATATAGTGGAACCAGCGGTTCTGGCGGGATCAGTATCACGATATTTCCGCAGTGCGAGCCGCGAATCTGGCATCGTTGGCTCAGAGATCGACGGCGGTCCTAGGCGATTAAGCCTAGGAGAGACCCGGAATGGTATCACGCATCTGCCCTCGCCCTGTGTAGGTAGGATCAGTCGATCGTTAAGAGATTTCGGAACTGGCGTTGGTCCCCCTTTGAGTCTAACGGTGGCCGCATCATCGTGGCGTGGGGTGCTCAGCTTTTCTGCATGACTTCGCAGGTACCGAATCCTGAAATATCTAAACGAGATGGACACTGCTAATTGCTTGCACAGCGATAGAGGCGGGCCGGTGTCCTTGCCCTGGTTCCTGGCTGAGGCCATAAGTTTGTGCTTAAGACGGAAGCAGATGAGATCCTGAAGGTCACCATCATCCTCTTTATCTATGAATGCGACAATTCTCTGGGTCAAATTGCTGGACGACGTCTGACGCATCGCCACACCTAGTCGATGCAAGCTGTCGAGGGCAGCTTCCAACGCTTGCAACGTTTCCACCAACGGCGACGACACGTTTTCGGAGGTCCTCCGGTCCATACTCTCGATAAGCGATGCTGGAGACTTGGACCCTGTCTTCTCATTTTCAATAGCCATGGCTATAAATATTGTTAGCTCGGAGCGGCAACGCTGGCACCGGACCTCATTCCCGAAACAAATAGTAGAGACACGAGACTGACTACGGATCAAGTTCCGTTTTGTTATCTCTAACAGCTGCAGAACCAAGGTTCGCAGAGAGTCGCTGGTCCTTAACCGGGAGTCGAGGGATATCGACTCTTCGGCGAACACGCCGAGATAGGATGCCCATTGCTGGAAATGTTGGTACAGGACGTCCACGATGGGAAAGCTAGCCAGAGACCTGTCGCTGAGAAGGTCGTGAAAAGCACCTTCGCACAATCTGCCGAGGTTGTAGATTTCATGGCTATCGGCCATTGTGAATCTTCTATGGTCCAAGCTAGACCCAGAAAGTCCCCATCAAAATTCGAATCCTAAGTAATACGGTGAGATGCTTGTGATGTTCTGCTCTATAGAGGCTATAATGGGACACGAAAGGGCAGTACGGATTAGTCCGGGACAGAGACGACATCCCCGCTCAACAGTTTTCGGTACAAAGAGGGTACCTATTACCTATCTGCCTGTGCCGCAGTTAGAAAGATCAAGTAGGTGCATTTGAATATGCAGCTGGTGGCGCAATGCAAGTCGTTCACTTCAGCCCCAGCCTTGTCACATCTTCATGAATCCCCTCGATGTACCGGTACTTCTGCGAGCGGGGTAATGGATTGTCACCTTTTGCTGGTCAGAAATTCTTGCGGTAGTCGATGTTGGTCCTTTATATGCCAGATAGCGGTTGACAGGTGAAGCCATCGGGGCTGAAACGATGCCACCACTTTCTACCTATTATGACCTGCAGTCTTTGCTGTTACCCAGCCCACACGTTAAATATTGCCACCGCACTCTCTAACTGCTTCCTCAACCGCCCGCCCTCCAACACTTTCGCCTTCATGATGCTAGCCGGATCCAAACACTGGGCCCTGTTCCAGGCCATCTCTCCCCTCTTTACTTCCGACATACCCTGGTCCTCAGCAGGGCGGAGCGATGCGGAGACTACTGCTGTCCAGGAAGCCGGGGCCTTGTTAAGGGCCCATATCAGCGAAATACCCTTCCATGTTCCGCAAGATGCTGCGTTCTCCGACCATACTCTATCCGATTTTACAACAGCCCTAGAATCTTTGCTCTTAGCACTTGAAGCTTTAGTCCAGCCGAGCGTTCTCGATGACGCGGCTGCTCTTGGGGAGGTAAGCATCTGGGGTCGCGTGCACAAATTCAGGTGGTATTAATCGTTCCTAGGCTAAGGTACACAGAGTCAGGCCGACCTCGTCGAGAAATATCCCAAGCTCTCTGCATTGAGCTTGTTCATCAGAAATGACAACTTCTCCATAGTTCACAATCATCGCTTTTTGTATTTGAATCAGAGGGCTGTCTTGCTCAAGGCCACTCGCTCATTCGCTGAGGGCTCCTTGGAGGACGTGAGAAAACTGTTTCGAGGCTCGACATCCCTGGCTAAAGATGGGTTCGTTGCTGGGAACCATCTCCCGCCATCATCCCAGCCTCAATACAGCCAAATATTTAGGGACTGCTCAGATACCTTGTTTAACACTCTGGAAAAAAACCTGCGGCCATGTACATCAATGTCCTCTAAACACAAGGCCTTCTTTCACCTGAAGGCTTCGCCCAATCCTGCAACCGGTGGTTCCTCCACGGAAATGGATCTATTATTGGCATTATGCCCTAAGGGGAACCCTTGGCAAGAGATTCGGTTTACTGTTCCCAACCATACGTAAGTGGTGCAAAAATGGATGCGTGGAGAATCACTGACAGCTCACCAAATACAGCGGTTCAATTCCGGCTGCGATGGCCGAATCTCACGAGCGACTTATCGAGGACGTCTGCCAAGTTGCCCGCGAGGCATACGAATGCCAGCAAGCTGTGAGCATATACGTCCACGACAACAAACTGCACGACACATCTGATTTCGACGAGGAGCCGAGCAACCCAGAAGCGGAACACACAATATCTCTTTCTTCCCTCCTAGACGATCAGGTCTTGCGGGACCGCTTCAAGTTTCCGCTTGTTCACAAGAGAATTCTAGCCCTAACTCTCGCTCGAAGTCTATTAAACCTTTACGAGGGGCCATGGATACAGACGGACTGGTCTGCCGAGCATGTTCTCTTTGCATATGGCACTGATAGGAAGCGCGTTTACGATATCCACCAGCCATATTTACCTTGTACACTCTCATCGGAGCATGAATACCAATCAACAGTTAGCGATCCTCTACACAATAACCCATTGATCCTCTCTTTCGGGAGACTGCTCATGGAAATGGATAAAGGGGAACGTATCGCGATCACAAAAACCGTGAGATCAAAGCCGAGCCTCTACCGAACACTCGTGGCCGAATTAGATGACTGGGGCAAGGAGCTTCTAACTTCATACTACACCCAAGCTGTTGAGGGATGTTTGAAGTTTCCGAAATGGCTCCAGGCGAACCGGGGCATGAGCCGGGAGCTTGCCTACCGCAAAGCCATCTTAGAGAAGATTCTGCATCCCCTGGAGCTTGAAGTTAGCACGTTTCCAAATCAAGGAGCAGGTTCTCGAGATATAGACTTGATTCGCAGTCATATATCACCACCGGAATTCGCTAGCCCTTTGGTCCGTACCTCGAGTATACGGAGTTCAACAGTCGTCGGTTACACCGCCGTCTCAGCAAGGACAGATGCTTCCACAACCGCCCTGGGCAGAGTGTCCAGGAGCAAGGCAATGGTCTCTTCCAGAATAGGCCTAGAGCAATCACAAACGAGTCACAGCACTGCGTCCTCCACATTAACTATTAGCGCATCGCGTTGCCCTCCAACTTCATTGCGTACCCACTCCTCCTCAACCACCAACGCCTCTCTAACCATGCGCTCCTCTCCAGTTAGTCGTCCCTATCCGGCCAGCCGCGTTTCTCCTGAGACGACCCGAAGATTTGAACAATCTGCGCGGCCGCCGACTCAAAGTGGCAGGTTTACTTCGATCTCACGGTGCACTCAAATCTCATCCCGGCCCGAAAACACGAGAGACATGCCGAGCTGTATACGCACATGTACCTTCATGTTCAGTGAGAGTGAAATGGAGCTATCTGAGGATAAGTTGAGTTTATCACTGGCCGGCCCTACTCCTCCAGGATTAATAGTATTAACTCGACGCAGGAAAACCCGTGCCAAAGAATTTCTCAAGAGATTTGAGAACTTTCGGTTATGTAACATCCACCGATGTTCGAAGACAGCAAGAGCGCGGATTGTCGTCTTAGATACGGGCCTGGATGACGGTGATATCCGAATCCGTGCTCTGAAACGAGGCATAAGGGACGGCTGCCGGAAGAGGGAGAACATAAGCTACAGAGACCCTGTCCGGGAGAAGCGAAATTTTGTCGCCGGTAGTCCTGAACACGACGAAGACGGCCATGGAACCCACGTCATCGGACTGCTGCTTACCCTTGCGCCGGAGGCAGACTTGTACGTTGGCAAGATCACCCGAGGAAAGAAGTGCGAGAACCAGGACCAGGGGATGGCTGCGGTAAGCATTTTGCATTGGATCCTCATGCGTGGTTACGCCTCGAACGACGTACTAATTGTTCTCTCCTATAAGGCGCTGAGGTGGGCCGTTGATGAGGTTAAAGCGGATATTATATCCATGTCGTTTGGATTCGAGGATGATTCAGGCTGGGATGACGATATGGATGAAGCGATTAAGCATTCCTTTACGGCCGGTAGGATCGCATTCGCTGCTGCATCAAACTACGGTGGGAATTCATGTAGAACGTATCCAGCCAAGGCCGGAACGGTTTTCTGCATTCACGCGTCAGACGGTCACGGCAACCCGAGCGGACTAGATCCCACACCGATACGCGGCGACTACAATTTTAGTACTCTTGGAGTGGCCGTGCCATGTGGCCATACGGGAGACAGGGAGATCTTCAAGACGGGCACGTCGTACGCCACGCCGGTCGCTGCAGGCCTTGCTGCTAACATCATAGACCTCGCGGACTGGTTGGCGGCGGCCGGAGAGCTGACCTCCGCCCAAAAGAAGAAGCTGCGCTCATACGAAGGCATGAGGAACATTTTTAAGCTCATGGCCCCCAGCCGTCGACAAGACTACGATTATGTCGCGCCTTGGAACCTGTGGAACGGGAAAGTAGAGGAAAAAATAATATGGGGCAAAATTAGAGAGAAACTCTCTTAAACATTACATAGAAGGTCTGGAAGATACCCCAAGAACATAGTAACGGATTTATGATACCTGAAAATTGAAACATTATCTTAGAACTCCGGTACAATCCACATAGATTCATCTTGATCGTCGAAAACTGTTCCTTCAACTGTTTGCACTAGGTCATCGAAATCGCCATCGCTAATTTCGTCTCCATCCAGATCTAACTCCGGTATGTCATCCTCAGGGAAGGTCCCGGAACCATCTTGCATAGTCGCACCTTTGGTGTGGACTTGTTGTTCGACCCTGCCATTTTTGTATCTAATCTTCCTAAACCTCAAAGCAACGACGCAATCGTCACCTCGTGTGAAGGACATGCCCTGTATGGCGGTTCGAGCGAACTCGATCTTCGGACCAACGACACCAATCCGCCCAATGACGCTAGCAGCGCCGAGGCTCCGGGTGGACGTCTGCCGGGAGTCAGCCGCCACTTCTCGCCCGACCTTGATCCCCGTGATCATATACACGGGCACGCGGAACTTGGTCGTTCGCATGTATGCACGCACTTCCGACCCAGCCATGCTGGAGCGGATATAATCCTCGGTGGGGTTGAAGTACGTGGTCTGGAGACATCCGAACCTGTACTCTGTATCGTCATCCTCCTCGACTCCTACCTCGGCGCGCGCTTCGAGGCCTAGCGTTAACGTCAAAAACTTAGCCCAAACGCCGAATTTGCCATGAAGGAGATCCTTTCGAGTCGCCGTGAAGCCGTCCATCCTGTGTGGACCGTAGATCTCGTTCGAGGAGATTGGGAGGTGGTCCGCGATGTTTATGGGCTGCAGAAATGCCGGGTCCTCGAGGATGTGGCCGAGATCAATAGGCCCAGCCGGTGGCGGCGGAGTAGTTAAGTCCGGCACGAAGACGTAGGTTTTTCTTATTTTGACCATTGTTCCGATATACTTTTGGCTTCGGGAGTGTACTCTGCTTTCATCTTAAGATAGAGCTTTCCATGAGGTGTTGATGTTAATCAATCGAATAAAGGAAATCTTTGTTTCGTACCAGTACTTCCACCATCCATGCTTACGGAGCCAAGAGAGAGATGGAGACCTCGCATTGCGGTGCAGAAGCAACGTGGGGCAACTAGATTGGTCGATGCCATTTCAAGGCGACTCGATTGAACGTGCAGGCGTGCTTCTTGTTGGGCCTTGAACATGGGGCGCGCGAACAGCGAATAACTCGTCCGCCTGCCAACGGGAGATATGTAAAGGTGACACTACCCGGAGTAGCCCCCAAGTTGCGTGGTTATAGAGACGCCAAGGAATTATTCGGGGCATGAACCCCGCGTTAGAGGAGGACCCGATTCGCTTGTCAAGGTTCCCATATTTCCCGTTTCACTTTTCAAGTCTTCAAATTACTTCCCCATGTACCGTGCCTCTGCTACATCTCACTACGTCTGTGATTCCAGGCCGCTTCTTCTAAATCAACGGGAGAAGAGCGCCTCTATCGCGGCGAAAGTTATTATGGCAGTGAAAGCAGGTCTTCCGCTTTCGCACATTCCCCGTTCGAATCCTCTGGACGGCCCGCCCTGGGGTGGGGATGTGTAAGGACAATTGGCGCAGTGGCTATATAAGACTACTTCCAGTCAAGTGAGGCTGAACGCGACACCTAGACCATATTTTTGTTCTCACATAGCTCAGCTATAAGGAGTCAAACGTGTGACAAGATATTATCCCTTGTCACAGGCGGTGCTTCAGGCTTCCAGTCTGGCCAAAGCCTTACGCCTGTCAAATCAGAAGGTGTACCTGCTCCATAGGGATCCCGCTCTTCACCATTAGGATCATAAAGGGTAGTGATCTGCGATATAGAGAAGTTGCGTAAACCACAGGCGCCAGTTTATTGGGTGCCCTCATGACCGTTACCCAGGCCAGAACCCCAAAACCAAGACAGATGGCCACCTAAGCCCCCATGCGGCCTGTATCGTCGCAGTCCCCATACCAAAGTCTTTTGGCCCGCATAGCCGTTGCCTATAGGATTGAACACTTCGACGATCTGCCTTTAGAGTGCGTAGAGCGCTGTGGCCGTGGCCCAAGCGCAGCGCTGCGAAGGCAGAGCAGATTAGTTAACAAGTTCGGGGCATGGCTGGGCACCCTATTTATGAGACTTACCGCACTGCTTCGTCGAACACAGCTGACACGTTGTTGTGGGTTAACGAAGAGCATTCGATATATTTGTGAGCCAAGATTTCCCGGGCAAGGGCCGAAGCATGCTTATAGGATACAGGTGCCATGTGCTTGTTCTTCAAGTTCATCAAAGTGGCGGCGTCGTCCCGCAGGTCGAGCTGGGTCCCAACAAGCACGATAGGGGTATTTGGAGCAAAATGTTCAATATCGTCCAACCACTGGAATGGACACATTGTTAGCATATACGAAGCGTTTCGAATTGTACGGTCTGCGACGTACCTTGTGCTTGACGTTTTCGAACGAGCAGGGCTGGACTATAGAAAAACAGACCAGGAAAACATCGGCTCGCGGGAATATCTCTTGCCATGTTCGGGTTTTCAGTATGTAGTCTTCTTCGGGAAACGTAGTATCCCAAAGGGAAAGGCCGACTGGTTCGCCATCATCAGCCTGTCTCCTTTCGGTATAGTTGTCAAATCTGGGTGAAAGTGCCGTCAGTCCCGGGGAAAAAGCGTTAACCTTGCTTATGAGAGAGAAGCAATGGGGCTGACGAACACAGTGGGAATATAGTCGTGAGGAAATGCCTTTGCCGTGTGTAAGATGAGAAGGCATGTCTGTGTAGGGGTGTTAATCTGCGGAAGCCCTGGTGTTTGCGGACATTGTTACACGCGTTGTGCCTACCTTGCCGACATTACCGTCCCCAATCACGACACACTGTGGAGTCAGTCAACGCGACGCACAGCGAGAGGAGAGGCTCACATTCAGGGATTTCATGACTGGATGAACCCTGCCGTACGCTGTTGTGCTGCAGAAGCGGAGGCAGGTCCAAGTAGCAGAAGGAAGTCTCTCGAAAGAGCAGTAGGATAAAGCAGCAGGCCTTTTCGTGACGTCCCTAGTCTCCTATTATAGTTGTCGTGTACCCCTGAACGGTCACGGGTCAACCCTGTCTGGCATGTTCCATCCCGGACGCTAGTCCAATGGACCCACTTGCCGACCACGAGGGCCGAGAGATAAATACTAGGACCTATAAACCGCTGCGTTCAGCTTCGTGCAATCGCAATACATGTTTCCGGGGGACTTTCAACGGGTGTGTGTCAGTTTTCGGTTCCTTTTTTCGGTTCCTTTTCGCACATTATTTCTGTCTGACTCCAAGGCAGATGGCTCGATCAAGAGTCAATTCTGAACCTGTAAGCTGTGTAATGATAATACGAACATGCCCCGTTTTCTTCAAATCCCAGTCGACATTATTAGCAGCAACGCAGCTTCACAAGCCTGGATCCTCTACTTTTCCTTGAGTTAGTCGGTACTGGCTTCTATAGCGCGCACAGGACCCCCGAGTCTTCCGAATCCTCGTTTTAGTATAGCCAAAATGATAGTTCAGTTCTGGGACTCCAGATCTCAATTGCAATAAAGGAGCCTACTCTAGCTCCCTCGAATGTGCCTCGGGCCAAAATGGCCAAGATCCGTGAACTCCCCCTCAGTTATATCGTCACTACCGACCTTCCTTTCACCACTCTCGAAAATGGATACCTACGAGCTGTGTTTCAACAGTTGGATCACAGTCTAGCCGTCGACTCAGCCCTTGAAAGGACAGTTATGAGGTTAGGCCCTGAGACGATATTCAAAAGGGAAAGCCTACCGTCCAAGAAGAAGGTCATAGTACCATTATCCTGATCCATTTGAGAAGGCGGGTGAGGGCTGCGTGTGGGAGACGGTCCAGGCCCGGTTGACGATGAGAGGAGAGGGAGATTACTTCGTACATTCATGTATATTTGTGCCGTATTATATCCGGGCGAACAGGGGTGGGAACGGCCACATGCGAGTTGGCCTACCTACTGAGGGGGTAGAATGAAGGAGGACGCAAAGTCATCAACCGACCGCTGCCTATCAAATATTTTTGCGACAGCTGTAACGCAAAGACATCTTATCTCCGTTCATATTTGCAAAGACTATTTCTGTTTCTTGGCAGGCCATATACCCGCCAATCCCACTGAAACCTAGCAGCGCCGTGGCTTCCGAACTTCGTGACCAGTTGTGCCCAGGGTCCCCTTTCTTGCACAAGGCTCATTGGCCTGCAATTGCATGCACAGCCTCCCTTTTCTGCGACTCTTGACAATAGTTACATGCGAATTATTGGCGAAAGAGCAAAAGATTCTTATCATTCCCAGGGCATACGAAGCTGCCAAGAAAGTACCCATAAGCAGGCAAAACATTATGCCGAGCATAAGGATGAATTTGCAGGTTCGTGCGGAACCTATCTGAGTATGATAATTATAAATCCCACCGCTCCTCTGAGCAGGCAGATCCTGGAATCCCACCGGGGTCGTGAACGACAAACCCCACCCCAGTGGACCGAGTCTTATCAGGCATCCAGTCCCACATCGCCGGCCCAGTAAAGATGGACACCGAACTGAAGATCGACCCGAGATTCGCCGACATTCTCAAGACCTCCGCGCTCGCTTATGAAGCAGAAGAGCACAGTTCTTACGAGAAAGCGCTCGCCTTGCACAACGATGCGATCAATAGACTGACTGCACTCGCAAAGAAAGGTGGTTTCTTTTCTTTCCTGTCGCGTGGGAAGCGACTTTTGAAGAGGCAGGTCGAGACAAAAATCGGTCTACATCGGGAGCGGATCAAAGCATTAGGGTTATATGGCGGCAAGGAGGGGTCAAAACTGGTGGTGCCGGCAGTGACGAGTTCAAGCGTTGCGCGTGAGCTTGGTGCGACGGATGGCACGGCGGAAGCTCTTTTACAAGCTGCATCCGTGGGCGATATCACTGATAGCACACCACTTTCTCTAGTAAGTTCTGTTCACTTGCTTCCACCAGCGGATGCCTCACACCGCCAAGTGTGAATCCTACCAAGGGCCCTGGTGGGGACATGAGGTTCGAGCCTCATTAACGGGGCATCGTGTCGACAGGTAGAAATCCTCCACCCTCAGCATGATCTCTTACCCCTAGAAGCGGTTATGGCAACTGTTCCTCCCGGCGCCCCCACCGAGACCTGGGTCGTCCGACGCGCGGGAAACACCGCCGCCGCCCTGGAGAAAGGATACTTCTTCACGGTCAAGGACGCCACCGAGACCAACACACTCTACATTCTCGAGGCTCCTATTATGTACGGCGCTCAGGTGCCCTTTGCGCGACTTTCCCGCGCCGGCGAATACCCACGCACCGCCGCCCTAATTAAGCTCTGGCGGCCGGCGCCCATGCAACCCCTAGGGACCCGTATCCTGCACAAAGGTAGGCCGTTAGAGGTCCAGAATGACCTCCTGCAGGGGCCTGTCAAGGAAAACCCCGACGTGCGAGACCTAAGCCCGTGGGGACCTCGGCGCTTCAGCTACGGTTCGCGCAATTTGGTGTGGAAGCCCAAGTACCCAGAGAAGGGGCGCGAAGACGGTAATTTCGAGACTCTGTACGAGTACAACAGGACATGGGCCCGGCCTGACGGGTCGGGGAGGATGGATGATGACGCGTGGGACGGGAGAATGCAGGCAGACACTCCGCTGTGCTGGAGCGATCCCGTACCAAACATAATTGTCGATTTCGTCTGGAAGATTCATTTCGTTGGGGGATTAGATCCGTTTTTCAAGGAGCATTTAATTGCGTCGCAGTTGGCAAAGATGGCGGCAATGGCTGGAAATTCGCTCGACTCTATATGAGGTTTTTATTCTGTACCTAAGGGGACACCTGGTTGGAGATTTTGCGGCGGGACAAAGCGACGGCCTCGAGCCGAGCATCCTGGCGGAGGTCTTCTCAAGTTACATTTTTGTGGCGGCGTGCTTACCCTTGGAAAGGGTAACAGGTTCTCTCTTACACTCTCGCTGTGTCCGCCAGTCTCTCTCTCTCTCTCTCTCTCTCTCTCTCTTATCTGACCTCACGAATCCCTGGCCTGTGTCTCATCCGAGCCAATCTTGAGCGAATACACCTAATGATAGCACGGCTCCATCGGAGAAACTCTATATTTTCGGTAGTAGGGAATCCACTCTAGCATATACTAGGACGCTTAGCAATATGAGTTACATACGCGATCTGACGTTGTATACTACATTTTATCGCCTTTTAATTCGGCAAAACCTTGGCCTAATATTAGCACGGAAAATCCCAAGCACCTAAGAAAACGCCGCGGGGCGCCCGCTCCGTCCCGCCGCTCATCGGTTCCGGGGTTTGGTAGCCCCGAGCCGAGGCCTGTCCCATCCACTTTCGCTCATCCGGCACACTTCCGCCCAACGCAGCCTAGTTTTTGACGTTAAGTTGCTCCGTTATGTCGATACGCGACGTGGTCAATCCTGCAGTCTTTCGCAATACCCTCCCTTATCTGAGATCTTCCACACTATCGCCTTTGCGGCCCAAATGCCCAACCTCTACTCACCCAATCTAAAGCAGCAGGTTTCATCACCATAATACTGTACTCCCAATGATCCGCATCATACTAAGCGTCTCATACTTCCAAAAAAAACGAGACCACGGAGGTTGACCACTCAGCAACCTGCAGGTCCTCGACGTCTTTGACGTTGGCAAGGCTGGCAGCGAGAAAGAATGCAAGGTGGACGACAGCAGAGTTGCTGTGGACACATTCCGCATTCAATCCATTGCGGAGCTCAATGGCTTTCGCTGCCCGAGAGTTAAACCCAGGGACGAGGAGCAATGCAGCCAGGAGAGGTTCGACCACGAAAAGAGCACGGGTATCTGGTTGCAGGCATCGTATGCGAACCACTCGTGTCTCCCAAATGTGGCCCGTGCCTTCATCGGCGACATTGATGGTCGTCCACGCCGTTCGAGACATTCCACCCGGAGGAGAAATCTTAATGGGATACGTCAGCCCAGATAAGCCCTTTACTGAGCGACGCAAGCGACTGAAGAATGGCTACGGGTTCGAGTACGATTGTGACCTGTGCAGCGCGGAGGCGAACATCCACAAGGCCACCGTCGAGAAGCGCGCTTCGTATAACAAGCTCTCACATCTTCGCATTGCTCGCATGTTTGCGGAAGCGGTTTGACTCCAATGGCACGACAAGGCGCATGCAACGCGGTCAAAGAGTTCTCCGCACCATACAGTGCGCTTACCAGAAGATCACGCCGGTCGCCGCGTCCTTCATCGAGCGCCTCGTCGACATGTCCAGGACCCCGTCTCGATCTCCGCCGCCCCGCGTGGTAGCCGAGACCCTCGGCAGAGCTTCGGCCGGCGCCCCCCGATGGTAGGGAAGGCGAACCTTACCAAAGGTCTCGGTTGCAAAGTGCTTCGCAGGGCATCACTGCCGCGGGGACCCTGTCGGGCCCCTCGGCAACCAACGGTGCGAGCCATCGCGAACTCCAGCGCACCGAGACTCCCTCGGATCCTGCCGTCGCCACCACCCCGAGGAGAGTATTGTGACGAGAGGCTGCGAGAGCTGCGAATGGACTACTGGGCTCGCGTACCCCTGGCAGACGAGTTTGCCGCCGCCGTTCTCTCGGCCTACCTAGAAAAGGGTCATCTAGTTATGGGCGTCTTCGTGTATGATGTATGCTGCACCACGATGCTATACCATGCACGTACCTACGTCTCTAGTATACGTGATGGCTCAGAGGTGACAATTCAAACCAACTCGAAATCACGCAGATCAACACCGCCTCCCCGCAAAGCATCCGCCGAGACCTCGAGGCGATGCGGCTCCCTCTCATACCTAACAACCTCAATACCACGCTCCTTTAGTATCTCGACCGGGTTCCTCTTGTCGCTTCCGTCTCTGAGGTCAACCATCTTCACCCGGTGCCGATCGATCATGTCGTCGACCTCGGCCGCGTATCGGACAGGTCGACAGTGCGGCATCTGATTTCCCGTGATGGCCTCGCCCCACATCAGCCCCGGGACACGACACGATCCAACCACTTGGTATCTCCCCGGCGCTGGCGTCGTCTGGCGAAGAACAAGCGGAACGTGGATTCCCAACAAGACGCACACGATATCCCCTGGTTTCGCGGCGGCGGGTGCCAGCCCGATGTAGCCCTCGGTAGTAGAGACAAAACACCTCCCGTACATCTCCTCGTTTGCAGTCGCGAGGAACATCTCGAGAGGATCGTCATCCTGCAGCTCCCCTCTGGCCGGCGCCCTCGTCATTTCAGAGATGGACAGCAGCGCATTCTTTGCCTTGGCCATGCTGAGCGCACCGCCATTTGGTGTTTCGAAATTTTCCGACGTTCTTCCCCTGTGCAAGGCCAGGCAGTATGCCTCGAGCAGTGTTCCCCCTCCGACGTATTTCGCGTCGAGAGCTTCGCGGCTCGGCGGCAGGAATGTCTTTATGGTGTCCACAACCACGGCCCTGTCGAACCAGTATCCGTTGAGCGTCTTCGCTGGCGTCAAAACCATGTCCTGCGTCCTCTCGATCGTGGCCATCTGGACGCCCGCGACACGGAGCACCCCAGTGTTAACACACTCAGCATGAGCGGAAATCCACGAGCAAGCGCTCCAGATGGGCTCAATGGGCCAGGCGCATTTCATCCTGGTAGACCAGTCGGGAACCCAAGTGGGCAGACAAGCAAGCGACGAGGACTCGAGCTCGCAAGACGCCAAGAACGAGATATCCCGACACTCGGTCGCCAGGCGCGTGGCCACGTCCCCAAATACGTCCCCAGCCGGCCTCGCATAGTCGGGCGTGAACTCCAAAGCCCTGTGCGCAGGACCGAGCAGGTGCTTGACGGCATAAATCGCATCGCGGGGGTCCTTCCACCGTAGATCCCTCAGCTGATGGCGCAGCGTACCGTAAACCATCCATTGTCTCTGCCCGCGACAGAGCTCGTAAACGCGCGTCCTCTTGAACAAGAATTCTGCGTCGAACTCGTCCGTGACGGCCAGGTACGGCCTCCGATAGAAACAAAACACGCCCGCCCGGAACGACTCCCACTCGAGCTGGAGACCGCCGCAGATGATGCTCTTGCTCCGCGAAAGGAAGACCTCCTGTCTGACCCAGAGCCGCTCGAACCACGGCCGTCCAAAGAGCCCGCTCAGCGCGCGCTGCTGCCGCGCAGCCAAAAAGGGCAGCAGCGCGTCCTTGTTCGCCCAGCGCGTGATTGCTAAATTCCCCGCGCGTGCTTCCTGCATCGCCATGGCCGACGGACGCATCATGCCCGTGTCCCAGTCCACGCTGACCACGTGCGCCGCCGTCTGGAGCAGGCTTAGCGCGTAGTCGCTGTCGTCATCCCCTTCTCCCGCGGGCCCCAGCCAGATCACCGTGTTGCACGCCCGCCAGTAAATCTCGCCCATGAGCGCGACCTGGGCACCCCGCTCTGCGAGGTTCGCCTGGTCGATGCACACGGCATCGATCCAGAGCGTCTGGGGTTTGTCTGGTTCGCGCAGGTGACGCAGCGCGACGAGGAGATTTTGCGTGACAAGGATGGTGTTTTCGGTCGTCGCGCTGTTCTCGTCTCGGTTTTTGTCTTTCTTATTGGGAAGGGGACCCGAGTCGACGTAGATCGGCTGTGGGTTCGCTTCGGAGCCCCAAACGTACGAGAGAGTCTCGTACACGGGCGGGTTGGACGGGTCGATTAGCGAGGCCGTGTGCAGGGAGATGTGGATGTCATCGTCGCGGGCGCCAGCGTAGAGGGTTAGGAGGCGGATTTCCTTTGCGGAGGTGTCCAGTGGGGTGTATTGGTACCGTCCCGGTTGGGGCTGGGTTGCAGTTTCCCCCGTGGAAGGTCCGGGTTTTGTGTTTTCGCCCATCATCTTGTTGACGAGATGGGAGTTGCGCAAGCGACTGAAGCTGAAGGCGGGCTTATTTTTTGATCCACTGTTTCCTGGAGCCGTGTCGACGCCGAATATTTTCATCTTTACGTCCAGATGGTTCCATGGGATGAGGAAACGGACGAGATGAATCGATCGAGGATCAAGTTCCTCATGTTGGTTCAACTGCAACTGCAAAGCTCAGCCGCATTTGCCCGCTGGCTGGAGGAACTTGCTTCCAGAAGCTTCCTGGGGGATTTCCCGAGGAAACGCCGGACCTACAGCTCGCCAGATCACACATCAGACTTACAGCCAACTTCAAACCAGCCTACTTCGACGAATATGACGCCCATTGACGAAGCGCTGGCTTTTATAGAAAAGCCAGAATCTGTAAATTATGCCAAGGTCTCGAGAATGTTTAAATGCGACGAAGATATTATGAGAGACAAGTGGTGACATGCCCCATTTCTAGGATTATAAACGTGGCTTAGTTCGTCAATTTAGTGTTTTATTGTTTCGTCCTTCCCGCGCGATGGCTGCGTTACACTTTTGAGGCTTACCTCTAGGAGACTGAGGATAACGCAATGCAAAAAAACAGAGGGCAGTCAGTCGAGTCTGGACATTCAGTCGAACGTCATGTTTATTTATGGTCCATCGGGTTTCCCAATGTGGACCCATGACCGCAGCGGTGCAGCCACACGTAAAAATGATGTATTCATTACCACCTATTTGTTCATATTATTTCGATATATTTATAACCCGGACAGCTTAAGTTCATAGGTCTTATGGGGCGGGTTCTCCCTCATACAGCTCACAGATCCGTCTGGTGCATTCTTGCCGACCCATCCACCAAAGCATAAACAGCGACTCACCAGAAATATGGCAGCCACCACACAATACGATGCCATCATCATCGGCTCTGGTCAAGGTGGAGGACCTCTAGCGAATGCCTTCGCCAAAGCAAAGAAAAGGACTGCCCTAATCGAGAAAGTGCACATCGGGGGCTGTTGCGTCAATGAGGGCTGTACGCCCACCAAGACTATGATCGCTTCCGGGCGTGTCGCGTATTTGGCTCATAGGGCCCCAGATTATGGTGTACAAATACCCAGTCAGAAAGGAGAGAAGAACGAGATTGCAGTCAATATGACCAGGGTCCGCCAGCGAAAGGACGATATCGTTAACGCTTTTCGAACAGGAGTTGAAAAGGGATTGAAAGAGTCAGGAGTGGACGTTCTATGTGGCGAAGCGAGTTTTGTGGATGCGAAGACCTTGAAGGTGGCAATGCTTGATGGGAGTGAGAAGCTGATTCGGGGCCACCACATCGTCATCAACACTGGCGCTCGACCGGCGCATCCGAAAACTGAAGGGATAGAGAAGATTGAAAGCGGGAGAGTTCTGGACTCCACATCGATTCAAGAATTGGACGAGGTGCCTCGACATTTAGTTATTATTGGGGGTGGATATGTTGGAGTGGAATTTGGTCAATTGTTCAGGAGGCTCGGATCGGACGTGACAATTGTCCAACGTCACACACGAATTCTACCTCGCGAGGATCCAGACATAGCAGATACTCTGTTGGATATCTTGAGAGAGGATGGCGTGGCCGTATATACGGAAACAACAGCCGCCGGCGTTTTATCCTCTTCACCTGAGGGGTTTAGCCTCTTGTTGAAGACAAAATTCGGCATGAAAACCCTCACAGGTGCCACGCATCTTCTCCTTGCAGCCGGCCGAGTTCCAAATACCGATGCATTGAATACCGAAGCAGCGGGAATAAAAACAGACGGAAAGGGGTATATTGTGTGCAATGAATTCCTTGAGACGTCTGTCCCTCTGATTTACGGAATGGGTGATGTGAAGGGTCCCCCAGCATTTACACACATCTCCTACGACGATTTCCGAATCCTCAAATCTTCACTACTCCCTTCTGATTCGAGGCTCTCTATTGCGGACAGGCTTGTGCCAAACGTGGTGTACACGGATCCACAGCTTGCTCACGTTGGACTACATGAGCATGAGGCGCGAGAGAAGCACCCCGAAAAGAAGATCATGACCGCCGCAATGCCCATGAGCTCTGTTGCCAGGGCGTTGGAGACAGATGAGACAAGGGGCATGATGAAAGCGGTTGTTGATGGAGTGACTGGACAGATCCTTGGATTTTCATGGCTCGGGCCCGAGGGTGGAGAGTTGATGAGCGTCGTGGAAGTGGCCATGATAGGGCATCTTCCGTATCAAAAGTTGGAGAGTGCGGTGTTTGCACATCCGTCATTTGCGGAAAGCTTGAATAACCTCTGGGGTTTTTTGAAATAAGTCATGTCCGTCGTGTTTTGTGTATCGTCCGGTACGGTAGTCTTCGGGATGATCTCGAGTGCCTTTCCTGCTGCCATCTAGAATAACTCTAATTAAGGCTGTAGTCTGTGCTAAGAACACTCCGGTCATGTGATGGCAAAGAGAACTTGGAAAGTTACTCGCCGCTATACAGCTTGCAAATTGCTGCCTAGGCCCCCTGGTAAAAACCCAGCGGTCATCGATCCTTAGAGGATAGCCATCTTGTGGCTCTAGGCCCTACTTTATTAAGCCCTTGATACGGTCGAAGCCAGCATTGGGCGGCGCATCTCGGAATAAAAAATGATGTCATCTTCATCTCTATCATATCCAGAGTCTTCGGGATAGCTTTTTGAAAGTACGAGGGAGATAACACCCTGTGACGTGCCATAGATTCCCTTCTGGGTCCGGCCGTGAGCTCCGTGAAGAACGGCATTTATGAAGAAGGGAAACCAGTCCCCGACCTGTAAAAAGAACCCTGAGGTAAGAATACATCCTACGTTCTAGGCTTTCGGGGAGAGATGAAAAGAAGGTAGGAGCAGCACGGTGGCCACGATGTGAGATAAGTAACCAAGACTTACAATAATGTCATTGTGCCCGTGTTCGCGAGCAGAGCGCTTGACGACGCCGAGTGGGACCCCTCCGCCTATAATGGAGGATCAGAGCTTCAAAATCGCACTTCGCAGGCTTTGACATGGCCGATAGAGGGGAAATATTGTCGTGACGGCCGTAGCCAACGGGCTATGACGAAATTCCAGAACTCATCGACGGCCCGGCAGCAAAAAGACACCAGTTCCAGCAGCTAAATACGGCTAGGCGCGGAGAGATAGGGGATCATGCTTTGCTTGATCCCCTATCTCTTTGGTACCGGCGCAACAGAGGCAGGTCGCTCTGACGCCTTCATATCTAATATTCTTGCCGCTTCTAGCTGCAGGTCCACTGCGGGGAAGAAGACATATGAACCGTTCGTTTCGTATTCTTAGCGTAACCGTCGTACAATACTCCCATTAGATTGTTGTAGAAAGGGACAGTACTCATACAATAGGTATCTCGAGCAAAATGAACCTCTACAGCACTCCGTAGAGACCCCCGGAATCTCGAAATCACCCTTTCCTCACCGCCACCCAAACACCGAGCCACGAACCATCCTCAACAACTCTTAACCCTCGCAACTGCTCTGTCCCTCCTCCATATCTAACAAAAACCTCGTATCACTCCCTCACCGCGACGACGCTTCCAGGAAGATGAGGGAGCAGTACCCGCTCCACCTGTACCTCGTTCAGTACCCAAGGGGCGAGTGCGGCGAGCCGTTGACGAAGAAGCGCTCGTCACAGCGTCCATATTGGCCACCAGCGCTAAGAGACTTCGCGGACGCCAAGGACCGCTTTTTGGCCCTCTTGAGGGTGTGGCCATCAGAGGGAATCTATTTCAAGACGCAAGATAACTAAAAGACCGGGCGAGGCCAAGAGCCTAGGCTACCGATCCTGCCATCATTTCGGGTTCCGCATATATCCTTGCTGCTGAGTAGTCGACAAAGCACGATTCAGTCCTATAAAGCTTCACCTAATACCAGAAAGAATCTGGGTGTGCGGCAGTAACCGATAATCCTTCTCATCCACGACGGAGTGTCCTAGGTTCTTAACGGCGAGGGAACCTTACGTCGCGTCGTCCTTGGAATAGGTTGCCGCCTCATATTAACCTCCCGACACCTGCTTGCGGGGTCGGAACAAGTCGCAGCGGTGTGTGTTGACCGCGTGATTGACGACGACGAGAGGGCTCCTCCGTTAATCATTTTTTTTCCAAGGCAATGGGGCAGAAGTTTGCGATATATATATATAGGAATTCTCAATCGGGCAACAGGAAAATAATTTAACAATTCGTTGATGGCGCGTTTTGAGGATAGGAGGTTAGTGCTGTCAAAACAGTAAGAGTTCTTTCAATACTCTGTCCGTATTTTTCGGACGGTCGACGCTCATATGTCTCATTGGCGAACATGAAAAGCACATAATTCGGGCGTCTACTTTGATCGTGTACAGTGTCCTAGTGAGGAGGAATGGCGACAAGCTCGGCTGCTCTGGTCCAGGTGGAGCGACGTTGTCGACGGTATCGGTCGTCGGCACTAGACGAGAGGCTGTAAGTGCGCTCTACGATTCCCATAAATATTTAATGAGGCATCGACGCTCAAACTGAGAAATGGCGACGTTGGCTAACAAATGCGCCACATGAGGACTTTGCCAAAGCCCGCACAGTCGATACAAGGGCTGTGGATGAATTCCAGTTTCAGGCAATAATTAACCTCCACGTCGACAAATCCCCCTGTCGCTAGTCCAGTCGCCGAGACCCTGCACTCTGACTTCGTCTCAGGTTAGATTGGCGCGTTTAAAGAGACGTGCCGATGGTGACCATCCAACTCGCGGGAACGGTGGTCGTGTGGGAATCGATGGGTGGTGGGATCCAATTGTCTTGAAGAAAACAGTTCTTCGTTAGACCTGGAGGTTAAGTAACCTTTGAAAGGAGGAAAGTAAGATGGTATTCCATCCGGTGCGAGGAGACATGGACATATATGTGGTTTACTGAACAAGTTGCGCTTTAATTGTTATCTGTCTCAAAATGTAGTGTAGAATTCTCCTGTCGAGACGCCGCGCAGGTTGGAACTTGACAGGCTTCTTTGAGCACTCGTTGCTTTGGCGCCGGCGCTGTCGCCAGGGATTCCCACTGATCAGTTCCCAGGAAGAAAGGAGATAGCTATTATATAACGTCCCCCGTCTGCGGCGACTTTGTAGCGATTGTACGCTCTCTTAGCGTCGTCCAAGCAAGAGAGGCCTCTTTCCCTCTTCGAAGCTAGGGGCGAGCGTCAGGTTCGTACCAATACTGAAACGTGCCAGTGAGCATCAAGTTCCCATCTTCCACCCATTCGTCCCACATCTCTTCGGCGGTAAGGCCGCCAGGCCTGTCCCCTAGCAGTGTGGCGAACTGCCTAAGTAGCTCTAGCCTTTGGGTGGGAGCGAGTGAATACTAGACCGAGGGGTTGCGATAGATTCCGAGCTTGTTAAAGGTACGGTTGGTGCAGTATGTTGGGAAGAAAGCCGAACTTCGGCCATTCCTGAACGCTCGCTCTTTCCCTGGCATAATGGCGGCGACGTACTGCAGGAGCCCGGTGCTGAGGCTTTGGTTGTTGAGGCTGGTTCGTAGGGTAAAGAAGCGGCGGGCATGTCGTAGGTGCTGATGGCAAAATTGGCGCTTAGCGGCCAGCGGCCACAACTCTCAATATCCTCAATGATCGCCGCAGTGGTTGCCTTGCCCAGAGGACCGCAGCGGCCACATTCGCCAGCGTAGCCACCATAATCAGCGTCACCTAAATCATCGGCGTCGCCGCCATTAATCATCTATAGGCTTGAGGGATACATGATCCGCGCCAGCTTCGCAATTAACACAGCCCCGGGTTTCACGGCAGAATTTCACTGTTGCCGTGAATATAGAATATACAATGAGCCATGTTGATTACCAGCCCGACGCCCACTCATCAAAGCTCTCGGATTAGTATAGTAGTGTCCCCGGGTAGGCTCGGTGGATTGTATTCGAGGTCTATACCGATACGAAGCCCATTTATTCTATGAACTGCCCATTCCCGATGATGAGAGGAATAGAGGGCAAGGGCGCACCGTTTCATAGATCCCTTGTTCCTCAATATTCACGAAGGCCATCACAGAGGAGGAAGTTAAGCTGGATTGATATAACATACAATTTGGCAAAGGGCCAATTCGAACTGCGGACCCGAACGTGATGTTTCCTAGGTCTGGCACGTCATTGCACATCCCTCCAGCGCGTGAGGTGAAACACATCCTGCCACCTTCTAGCGTTTCTGGACAGTGCCGTTGGACAAGCGATATCCCATCTCAACAAGGGCTCCGGCAGAGTGCCGCTTTATATTGGAAGATAATACACAGAATCGTAGCCATGCAAGCTCATGTTCGCCTTGCGGGGGAGAGATTTCGGGTTGGATGACTTTTGACGAGGCAAGGACCCGGATAGCGGCCACTGCCCAGCGGGTCAGAAGAGCTGTCTGGGGGATAGTCCACGTCCGCCATCGAGGATGAAATTCAGCTTATATACTAAAGAGCTGCCAGAAATCGAGATGAGACGAGACTTTAAAATAGGATCCGCACAAGTCGTTTTCGGAAGAAAAGGAACGACTCCCAAAACGGCAGACGACCGCTTTCAGAAAAACAAGACCCGACTCTCGGGGAAGTGCGGTTGTTGAGATGGTGGTTTTGATGTCCCGCCATTCTCACAGCCTCTCTTATATATTCGTGTTGGAATATCGGTTCTACTCTTCGCGTTCTTATCCGCCATCACGGCAGGACAACCGGGATGAGAAAGAAGCTTTCTAGCTTTTTCCTCTTCTTCTGTACTCTCTAAGGAAGCTTTCCAGCTTTTCTCCTCTAGTACTTTTCTCAGGGTAGGAGGACTTCTGTCGACCCGTTTTTCACTCTTTCTCGACCGAAATGAGTGAGTGACACGCCCAGCAGTGTCCGAATTCGAATGGAGAAGGATATTCTTCCGTATGGCAACGGAATTATGATGATTTCCGCTCTAGTAGGGGTAGAGCAGCATGGGACCATAACCTGTTGGAATATTGGTTCTTAATTAGGGAAGAAGAAGTTTTTCTTCCTGGGAAAAATTCCCAAACTATCTAACGTTTCGGCAGAGGTTTGGCAGAAGTCAGGCGGGCAAACCAGGCAATCAGGGCTGGTTTCCCACAAGTTGCGATGAAAACACATGCAAGGCGGGCATTGAGACCTTTCCCGGGAGAAGGCATCAAGCAATATATAATAGTATTATGCCGAATGACTAGTCGACCGTATTTAATACGACGTTGAGTCTAGGAATTTTCGGCCCGGTCTTGGTGCTCGACATTCGAGATATGCCCTTAGGGACTTTCCTGATTCCGGTAGAAGAGCCCCTCTTGATCTAGCGTGTTTGATTCCGCGCTCAACATTGCGTCGCCTGGCGTTGTTAATTGTATACTTATTTACTTTTTCGTTCAGGCTCTGTTGACGTGCTCAACTCTCATTTCCGAGGTTGTCGCCCTTTCTTGTTTGTTTTCGCCGCACCGCCAGAGGAGTTCCCCACACTGGTTGACCGATGTTGCTGCTTCGGTTGGGTAATCAGTTTCGTTTGGCAGCTCAGGACATTCGTCCGACCATACGAGGAGATCCATTTTTTCCCGCTTAATGACGCTGTCAAGGATCGTTGGTGGAAGAGGTTTTCTCTCCATTTGTCGCTGAGGTTTGGTAGGTGCTTCCGGCCATCTTCGGCTGCAGGACCGGACTGGGCGTGTTGCCTCTTGGTGTGACCGTCTGTGAGTCTGGCCCGTTCCATGGCAAGGAGCCTGTGTCAGCATTGTCGGCTAATACGTCTCGATTGCGATTTCTCTACCACCGTCAACGGCTACATCCTCGGAAAGCAGCGAAGATATATTGGTTGGGCTGGTCGTCGGTTACCGGATGGGCGAGGCTCTCGGCTGATTTGGGTTGCCATACCGCATCAGTGAGTCAGGGGCGAAAACGGGAACACCCCTAAGGTTACTCGCACGCGGCAAGGTTCACCAAAGAATCTTCCATGGCCACCTAAAGACATACCGTCCGGGGTGTCGCTCGAGTCAGTCCACAGCACAGGTGCCTATATAGCCCGTGGTCCAGTGCCTTCTTACGTTGGAACTGCGAACGGCGGCAACGAGGCATGGCGAGCTTATGTGAGCCCGGAGATTCGACTGCCGCTCTGAAAGGCCAGGACTGCCTGCATGCCCACGGGCTGCGCTGCTATTAATAACCTTCCCGTGTTTTGGGTTTGCCACCAAAATTATTGTTGCTAACGACAGTATATCAACCCTGCCTGAGCCAGCGAAGCCACAAATAGGCCCGGTGGTAATCGTGAGAACTCCGACGGAAGTAAAATCTACTAGAATCCCGATTCCCAGAGGAGTTACCCTCTGGACCGAACAGAGGAAGATCTGGTGACCCCTTCATCGCAGCGGAATCTGAAAGCATGGTCTCTTCGTCCCAAAGTAGCTCCCACAAAACACCCTGCCCTACGAAGACTGCTTGCCAAAGCTTGCGAGGTCGGGCTGCTCCGTCTTTGTTCCAGCGTCTTGGCGGGTGGCGGTCTTGTGACGCTAGAGCAACTAGACACATCTACATCAGCGTCATCGAGGAGCCACAGTGATGACACCGGCGTCCACTCATTACCCTCGCTCCTGGAGACAACAGATTCAACACATCCCATTCATATCAATTTTCTATGTCGCCGAACAATTTCCGCGGGTGGATGGATCAGCTCTCCAGCTTCTGTCAGTCAGACAGGCCATTGGAGCCAATCCTATTGGGAATATCGGTTCTTTATTGGGGAGGAGGAAGTTTTCCCCCTTGGGAACAGGTTCCCAAACTAACTAGCGTTTCGGTCGTTCGGATATAGTCAGAGGAATGACGTCCTGCCCAGAGAATGTCGAAGCGATTTGTCTTAAGGAAGGTCAGTCAGCTCCATACTCCACAGAATAAGGTGTCCTGCCAGCGGCAGATCTGTCCTGTTTGAGTCTTTAGCTGGATGAGGACAGGTTCCTGATTCGTTAATAGTTGAACCTCCCTTCCTGACTCTGCTAACTGATATAGGAAATAGGACCGTCATTTACGTCGTTAGGGGCATCTTATATGTAGGTATAGGGAACAATTTAAGATATAGAAAAAGGCATCGACGTCGTGATGCCGGTGCTAGGAGAGGTTAGAGTTGAATCAGCTGATAGTAGAGTTTAGAAACGAAGTCTTAGATTCTTCCTCGACTGTGTGTCTAATCTTGCTATAATTCGTGAGCGCTAATTCAATGTCATGATAGAGGGGCAATTGCCTGCCGCGCACGAGATACGTGGCGGTTTTGGAGTCGTGTCATATTTAGCGGGCTCATCGCGATGCTCTCCGCGTCTCTTTCCAGGTATGCTTAGATGCCGATATCACGGCCCTTCGCAACTGTCGTTGTCGATCCGTTTCCTCGCGCGAGTTGGGATTTATATGGCAAGGTTTACCCCCATTTAAGGACTCGCATCCACACCCGCTTCCTCTGTCCGCCGGACGTTGTCATTCTAAACACAATCAATAAAATACCGTCGTTAATTCTGGGTGTGGTAAGGAGGTCTGGGTCAGTGAAAGGGTCCTCCGACTTCATGGGACCGATACAGCCAAGACGACCTGCTGCGGCTTGCGACTCAATAGGCGGCCGTTAGAGGTCCGTATCGACTTCCAGGTTATAAGACTTAGACTCGGCGGGGCCTGAAAGCAACTGATTGTAGCCGAGTCCCAGAATCCTATAAGGCGAGAAAGCCATCAAGTCGTATAGAATATGTATGAAACTAATAATGAAATGGCTTGTTCGAAGCATTTAACGAAATATTAGCTCGGGTCAGTTGGATTTTGGTAATATATCCGGGCCAGATAGAACATGGAACTTGAAGCACGGCTCCTTTCTTCTGCTTCCCTGTGGCTGAGCCCCCTCAAGTGAGGGAACCGCGCTATACATGTTGCAGAAACCGAAGTAACGAGAGATTTGGATAATTCACAGAAAGCATGCCATTGAATATAAACTCCTATAGGTGCTTTCATTTCGCCGTTGTTGTCCACAACTCTCGCCCAATGCATCCCTCGCCGTGATAACAGGGGCCTTGTTCGTCCCTGTCGTATACTGAGGCTGAAAGGGCTCAAGGCAAAACGACAACAAACAAAAGTATGGCCGTGGCGTGTAGAGCATATAATCGTGAGAATGGCTGTTGCCAGTGAAGCCTGCCACGCACCGCCTCCGAACAAGGTTTGAGGTCGAGACCCATCGCTCATGGGCAAAAAATTGCTGGGAAGAAATTATACCCGGAGGAAATGTTGCCCGAACCCAATAAGCACATCCGGGACTGGGAAGAAAACCTAGTTAAACACGGGTGAAACAACCTATGAACTTGTCTCGAGCCCTTCTTGTTTCTGATCCTATGCATCGGGTGATAGGCCAGAAAAACACCGGAAGCATGAAAGGAAAGACGTGGCAGGCTTCCATTGAAGTGAAAATCATGGGATTGCACTTCTTGGTGGGCCTCGTCCAACTGATTTCCCCCTATATCGCAAGTTCCCAGTCTCTTCCGGATGTTATGGGAACTCACCCAGATTGTACGACAGTGTAACTGTACACGACAACGCGCGAGGAGACCATACATTTCACTTGGGCGGCAGAGATGGATGAAGGGGACCGATATATAGAAGCTGGGTCTAAAAGCCCAGTAGCATCATGTCTTAAGTCGATAAGAACGTCTCCACGAACAAATATTGACTGGAGTCCAGAAAGAAAGATTCGATCT